ACAATTCAAGATTAAATGCAAAACTTCTGCTTTGTTTTGATTTCAAAACATATGTTAGTTTTATAGCAAGTTTTAATGGGCCGAAAAAAATATTGTTTGGAGGAGATTTTAACCCAAGTACTGCCTGTTGCCCCAACCAAAAAAAGTTCAAATAACATAGTCTAGCATACATGGTACTAAATGTAGCAACCATATATAACAGTAAAACCTAGAGGTAGTTTCCGTTTCTTAAAACCAACCAACATGCATTTTGAAGATGTTGACGAAAAGTAGTTTCGTGGTTGGTTTCGATAACTGGGTACTGTACCCTAACCAGTCGCAAAATAGTAAGTAATCAGCCGTTGATTAGGCCCTTTTTTGATAGAATATGTAATCAATCGCACCTTTAGGAGGAATACCAACACATAATCTTGCACTAGGCTAATAGTAGCTTTTTCAAGTTAATAAATTTATCTCAACACACCTTTATTTGCCTTTTCATATTTGACGAAGACAATTTAAAACATTTCAATCAGGGAAGCCTTTTCATCATCATTAACCAAAAGAACAAAAGCTACCGTAGTAAACCAATATTTATTCACAAACATGTTTGCTGCCTTTAGCAGAGTTAAACCTATGGAGTAATCTAAATGATTTATCGAAAATAACATCATCAAAAGCAAAGACAAACAAAAAACTGATTTTTACACAAAAGATATGTTGTACTGGGATATCAATCCTGACACAGAGATAATTTTTATTCTCAGTTTGTTAAATATTACAATAATTTGTTTTACATTTGAGCTTTCTAGGGACTTATGTACCTACAAGCCACTAGTTTTAGTTGAAATTTAAGGAAACATGTGCTAAAAACATTTACTTACTTGGTTGAAATGAAATATTTACTATTTAAATTTGTTTTGGCGTAAATATTACAATGGAGAAAAGCGAGAAAGCCTGGGCAATTTGATATACTAAAAAGAAAACTTAATTAACACTGTGCTGCGTTTCTTGATCAATCATTGAAAGAGCCGATTTGCAAACTATGGAAACATAGGAAAGTCATATAACACCCCTAAGTAGAAGAAATAGAGATAATGTTTTATTAAACGAGATAAAGGAAAGATAAATTAAAGAAAATGCAAGCATAAAAAATTGTATTTAAATAATATCAATCAAGACTAAATTATGTAACAAGTTGGACACTACGATGTAATACGTTATTATTTATTTACCTATTTTACGTTAACTATATTGTTTACTTTGAAATGGCCCTAATGTGAAAACCTAGTCAGTATTTCAGTAAATAATTTTAATTTTATGCTTACAAGAGTACTCAGTTTATTAATGTCCAAACTCACTTTATACAGGGTGTATTAAGTCCCGCGCCGGCTTAATATTTTCTAAACGACAACAGATAAATCGATAAGATTTGGTACATCAACACCACACCTAAAAACCTATTCTTTTAAGGAACTATCAATTTTCTCTCATATCATGGGGACGTCCCGCAAGGAGTCAGAAGGAAATCTTAAATAGAAGCATAGGTTGATATGGACATCAAATTAAAGACCTTTAATAGCAGAATATAATATAATGCCGCAAATTTGAATCCAATGACCGAGTTAAAAGTGGCAGCCGTTCAAAGATTTCTTAAATCTGCCATTTTAAATCTTTGAACGACTGCCATTTCTTACTCGAGTCGTTCTTTTGACAAAGACCTTTAATTTGATGTGCATATCGACCTAATGCTTACTTTCACGATTTTCTTCCGATTCCTAGGGCTGTGCCCCCTGAGGAGTTAGCGTATAATAGCAATTAATGTAAATTAAATGAATCTTTGAACATCTGTCATTCTTGGCTCGTTTGTCCGTTTGAGTTCAAATTTGCAGCATTATATTCTGCTGGTAAAGGCCTAGTATACACATTTTAATGTATAAAGGCCTGTATACACAACATTATATACACTCTGTATATAGTTGCTCTGTTTTTCATAATTTAAAAAAATATTCCAAACAAATGTTTTGCATAATTAATTATCAAACCCTTAAAATATACAAATATGTTACACAAAAATATTTTCAATTTAAATTATATACTAATAAAAGTAGTCTAATGAACATCTTTGAAAAATATTAAAAGTGTAGAGTCTTGTAGGCCTATACATAACCATTAGATTAATACATACAGTATATGAATATTGCTGTATTTCAAATTTTTTTAAGTGATTGCTACAGCAATTACATGTGTTGAACTTGTTTGAGCTTATCTTGGTACGATGAACACTGTAAGCATCTTGGCTTGGGTATTCTAAGGTCTTTTGAAATCCACAAAACAGTTTTCATTAGTTTTAATCGCACCAAAAAACTTAAAATAAACTGACGATGGATAAGGCATGCGTTATCATTGTTCAAAGAAAGCCATCCTCCCTCAATTTATTTCGAGGCTAAATCAATTTGTGACGCAAAATTCTAGAGGGGAATAAACTAGTATTCACCTAAGTCAGGCCAGGCCTACCCTAGAACCGGCCACACTCAAATTTCTTCCCCGGAGTGCTCAGAAGGAGCCGAGAAAAATCCAGGGGTCGATACGAAGTTGTCACGGCTTTGACTGATCAATTTATTTAAATTTAAGCGAAGGCTCAGAGCTCTAGAAGCGCTCAGGAAATCCTTCAGACGCTCAGTTGGAACTATATCATCCCAGCCTTCGTAAAAGTGTTTTGGGGAATTTTGCCTAACCTTTGGAATGACTCTGTAGGGCCGACGAGTATCCAATCTTAGGCCAATGTGATTTAAATACTCGTAATAAACTGTAAACTATCTGGCTAAAGACTGTGGTAGATAATAAAATCGAATCTAATGTAAAAAGCAATTCCTACAGAGTCGTCGGGCCTAATTAATATAATCGAATGGAGAATTTATCGTGGGATGATTTAAAATAGATTTAATATTAATATTCGTAGCTGTTTGATTGTTCTAATCAGCTGCTCCCAAGACTTGATTCTTTCACCCGCCAAAGCAAAGACGGGGTTTAGAACTTAGACGACAAGTCTCGGGGTATTAAAACAGCGAAAACGAGATATACGGTAATTTAGACGTGATAAGTAGTTGTTAAGCGAACTAGCTAACCTTCGTAATAATATCGTAGTGTCGTGGTATTCGTAACTCGTGCGAGCTAGTCGGTGGTCAAACAGCGAATAATCTTGTCCGGCTCAAATCATGATTTCCTCGGTCGAGACTTAATCGCTCTGGTGGTGAGTTTGAGAACTAGCCAACAGCTGATCGGAAATTCACCTGTTGAGCCGGTCTAGTTGTCGTCTGTCGTTGGTCAACAAACACCATTTCGAGGTTAAGTGATGTTGTCATCGGCGTTAAATATTCGTAAAATCGGTCGTTTTAACTTTATTATGTGAAACGAAGTGCTATTATGAATAAATATATCGTTGTGGGTGTGTTTGCGTACTTCACTGTTATTAAAAGTAGGCCTACGTTCTTTGGTCCATAGCCCAAGCTATGGCCAACACATAGGCCTAGGAGTAAGATGTTGTGGATAAAAATCGGGTAAGCTACGGTGTTTGTTGACTAGCAATACGTTTTTACCCCCCTTAAAATTTGGTACCTCACAAATTAGTCCACTCTTTAACACTACACTTAAAAATTATTGTTAAAAATTGTTTCTGGAACGACAAGAGTATTGCCCAAGTAACAAACCAGAGTAAAATTCAAAGAACTACAATCTTTATGAACTCACATTCTTTTGTAAACATAATAATTATGGGTCAATAGACCTATCACAATACAAGATAACGAAAATTTAAATAAAGGCTCTGTTTATGGGCCCATCCTGGGTACAAAATTAACTTGGGCAACATATATCCATAAGCAAAGAAACTACGACAGTTTACTTAATTTACATAAGAATGGCATTGGAATTTTAAATTTAAAATTTTTGGAATTGAAAATCATTTAAGTTTCTCACGCCCTAAACCTTCAACCCAAGATTCAGGAAAATGGGACCAAAATTAATCGCGTCATCGTGTTGACTGACACACATATGCATATAACAATTTGAACCAATAGTGTTTTTAGCCTCTGTGGACATCAAAATTAAAAAGTAAATCGGTCCCGGGCCTATAACCATGCCACGGTAATAGCTACTTCCCTGTAGGGAAATTTGCTAAAAATCTAGATTTGTTTGGGTGGAAATAAAAATAAACCAGCTGGGCATTCTGAGTTTTTAACTTGAAAAGTAAACAAAGTTTTTTTGCGTTTTAACCAAGTAAATGATTGAATGTTGAAGTATAACAAATCAATTAAATTGTAGTTACCGGTAACCTTTTATATTAGCTAAATAAATGTATAAAGGTCACGCGTGCTACAAATATTGCATACTAAATCAGTTTAAATTAGGCCTAATATGAAAATAATTCTTCATTGACATAATATCCACTAGTAAAGGTATTACTGTACATGTTGATTTTAATATAAATGGAGTAATTGCAATTTTTATGCTAACTCGCACATCTGTGACATTAAAAAAATCAAGCAGCAGACACAGTAAACTTAATCCATGAACCGGCAACCGGGCGCTCGAAGTTGCGTACTGAATGGGAAACAAAGCCATTGTTTGCGCTTCCGTTGGTAACGCAGATTTTTAGGGCTCGATATTGCCGCTAGGAGCAGCACACTACTAGGCTAAAAATATCCCACGCTAAACTCCATATGGCTGCCTATCTCTTTATATTGCTTCATCTATGGTACTAGTCTATATGTTACTACGGTACTATGTCTCTATGGTACTAGTATTATATATGTTAAGATTTCTGTAAAACTATTTGTAGCCTATGTATTGAATGTATTGACTCTATTCTGTATGTACATACAGAACGAATAAAGATTATTGATTCTGATTCTGATTAGTCTGTTTACGTTTGCAATGCAGCAACAACACAGATTGGTAAAATGTAATCTCCTGATTCCACAGTTGAAAAAAGTAGACCAATGGAAAATTCATATGCAAACCTTTGTAAGTATATTCTTTGAAATAAAATTTCACCCAATCATTTAAACTGCGAAGTTCTTGTAAAGTCAATCCTTCAACATCATCAGTGAGACCACTCTCAGTGAAATCTCCTGTGACAAAGGCACGACTTCCATCCCGACCTGTAAAACAAACTTTACTGAATTTTCATAACTAAGATACCTTAAGCTTAAGAATAAAGACATGTAATAGCTTTCGGGAGAATTAATAAGTTCAATTAAATTGGGGCTTGTTTGTTTTAAGATCTATTGTTATTCATATTGCTTTGTTTAGTTTACATTTCATTGCTTGTTAACAATATGGATAAAGAGGGCAATGCATTTGTGGATAGTAGTGGAGGTTGGTTATTAGCAGTAGGTATGCCTACTGAATTACTTGGTGAACCAAAGAAGAAAGGAAACGTCTCAGATGAGGAAAACCCAAGAAATACTACACAGAACAGAGTGATTTTTTTGCGGCTGCCACCCAGTGGCTGCAATCTAGTGAGAAGGCGGCCTAAAAAGAACAATAAATTGAGGGAAAACAGCGTATTCAATCTTGCATTAGGAGCTGTGTTATTATTGTATCACCATTTATTTTTTAGCCTATTAAGCTTTAAAGTCTACCCTAGAATAAAAAGGGTCTGACTTATGGGACCTAATAATTCGTAATATTTATTTCATTAGTTTTGCCAACAGTGTCATTTGAAGGCTTCTGATTGGCTTCTGATCCATGACGTCATACTTAATTATAAAATTAAGAAAAATTATAAAATTAATCTTATAATTTTTTAATTATAAAATTAAACCGTCATAGCCTAACCAAACTTGCTAATAATGAAAAAAAATCAAATGAAAACTACTCAAAAAACTACTAATCAATAAAACTACTAATCATTTACTAATAAAAAAATAGGGTAATTTCCTGTTAAAGGGAACATTCATTATTATCGATGATTTTTTCTCGATATACCTATCGATATTTTTGTTTTCCGATTGTCACAAGTTAACAACTGATGTTGTTTAGGCTAAAATAGTCTATTATATGGATTAAGAAATGAAACTGTTCTAAGCTAACCTAACATAACAACCAAACTTGCTGTACCAATTAAAAAAGATAAGTGTAAAATGCTTTTTGTAGTTTGTAATGGGAATGATGTAGCCTATTAGTAAAAGTTATTATTTTGTCAATTATTCCCACAATACAAAATAAATTATATTTGCCTCGGATAAACCACAGAGAAGGTTCGATCCTTATAGTAACCTTAAATTTTACCTGGTATAAAGGAAATATATCAGGTGTTGAAAATATTAGCCACATCTAATAATCAATCGATATTTATTGTGTAACTACTCAACCTATGGCAATACATACATCGATATATGGTTAACGAGCCTTAATCACAGCGGTTTACAGTTTATCGAAACGTGCTCCTTTCTCGCGCCAAACTACACATACGAACTTCACACCTCATGGACGAATCATAGCACTTTAGTAGCCTAAATGTATTGCAATATCTCAAGTTATCAGATACATAATGAATCGGTACATTTACAGAATGAACGATAAACTGGATATCGTGGGTAATGAGACAGATGCCCCTCCCGATATTCAATAAAATCATATTTACAAATTACGTCGCACTAGACAAATGCCCCTTACGACTTGATATGTGAATTAATCTGAAGGCGGGTATAATTAATATGATATAATATTACTGACGTGCGAGACATGTGCCTCACGCGGCTTACCAAGTAAAAAATACCCAAAAGTACACCCCACTTCAAAAACAAAACACAGAGGAAAATTAGCTTGAACTCACAACTAAACGCCTATCAAGATGATTTTCTTAAAACAGTTATGCTCAAACGTACGGTGATATCGCCATGCGAGATACCTACCGCACACGGAATATTACTCGTAACGTAACATTTTATCTACACTCTTCGTAGGACTTTAAAATACAAATATGAGATCACAATTTAAAAGGGGGTTTTAAATTGGAGAATAAACTATAAGATAACACTCTCTGTAAATGTATCACCATGCGAGATATGTACCCCACACGGAATATAATGTAGATTTTTCAATGTATAATTTTATTAGACTTAATGACAAATCACCTGTCAAGAGAATTGATGTAATGTGATGATGTTAAATAAATAAATAAATAAAAATAAATAAATACTACACACAACATAATATATTATCTACACACTGTGTAAGACTTTAAAATACAAGGGATAAAACTCAAAACGGGAATTTAAGTTGGAGAATAAGCGATAAACTAACACTCTCTGAAAATAAAACATATTTAATCTTCCCATGACCAACAGAACAACAAAATGGAACACTCCAAAATAAAATTTTACTAACTTTTCACTTTATAAAAACTCAACCAAAATGATTTATTACTTGAAATTAAGAGGGCCTTTTTATAATCGAACCGACGAGACAGATGCCTCCGTTCGATTATATGGTGTAAAATTTCTAAAGGGATTTTGAGCCTCGAGGTGAGAGACATTTGCCTCTAACCGAGAGTGAGAACGTTCGATACTTTAAGAACTCGATGCTGGAAAATTAAAATCGAGACAAACTTTGAAAAAATTGAGATTAAAATCTGAAATTTTTTAAGAATTAACAACTTTCGACTTTTGGAGGGACACTTACCCATTTGGAAGTATGCCCCGATCGGTAATCAGCGACACTGCACTAACTTACACCATAAACGAAAATTCATAACTTGATAGCTTGACGGTACGGCACTGAATGTCTTGGTCACTTATTAGAGAAGTCCGTGCCCCTCCGACTTGTGGCGGGGGAGAGGGAGGGTAGCGATATCACAGTGACGCTTGCTTGACTCCAATTTACTTATCTGGCGGGATATTTGAAATCCACTGTTACAAGTGTTACTCAAGCTTTGCGTTTGCAATGGGGGAGGACACGATTTGAAAAAATTCGCTTCTTTAAATTTACAGTATACTATTTAGTATTACACATCTACCATAGCCATAATATTCTACCACTCCACCTAAACAATATAGAGAAAAATAAATTTCATTTTTCATTTTTATTTTCCATGGCAATGCCATTTACAAAATACAATCAGTTAAGATTATAATAAGATTAGGCCTATATAAATACAAAACATTAAATTACGACAAAACAACATTTCATCAGCAATAGCATCGATACAATCAATCAACAATAACAGCTATAAAGTATGACATAACAATAACAATGCAGAATGACCATGAATAACAATAACAAGGCATAAGAATAATAATAACGATAACAATGATAATAAAATGTATGTCTGAATCGTATGGTAGGATGTCTGAGTTTAAACTGTTGTAGGCCTATTCTAATGTAAGTGGTATAGTTCCTCAAGTCTGGTGTATATCTGTATTTGGATGTGAAGTGTAATTAGGTGTGAATTAATTAATCGTGTGGAATTTTATGTTTAAGGGAGGCTAGACTGTCTAGGCTAGAATTTGTTTCCTAGTCGTTGGAGTCGGATCATCGGACTATTACCCAGGTAGTTAGTCCTGTACTGCGCCCTGAAGAAAACATCTGCAGACCTGGTACTGCCTGGAACTCGAAATAACAGCTTTTCCAACAGCTGAGGAGAGTCAATTTTACCATTGATCAGTTTTAACAAGAAAGCCAGATCCGCAACATCTCTTCTCTTGGCCAGAGTATGAAGGTTCAGCAGGCACTCAAGTTCTTCAACTGGGACGTCTCTATAGTTGTAGCCACATCTAACTCCCATCATTCTGGCAAATCTTCTCTGAATTCGCTGTAACCGAGAAACGTAGATGTCATGGTAAGGTTTCCAAACCACCGACGCATATTCCAAAATCGGGCGTAGGAGTGTCTTGTAAAGGGTAGTTACGAGTTTTTATTGAAAATCCATTTCTTGACACTCTGAAGATCAGACCGAGGATTCCACAAGCTTTCCTGCAGATTTCATTTACGTGGTGCTCAGGCGTAAGGGAAGAATTCCAATAGACTCCGAGGTCTTTAATTACGTGGCACCGGCTCAGGGGAGTACCATCCAACCGATAATCTATATGTACAATAGTTTCACGTCTTGTAAAGGATATTACATTGCATTTAGATACATTGAGATACATCAAATTCTGCTTGCACCAAGACTCGATGCCAGCGAGAGTTCTCTGCAGAGATTCACCATCACTAACATTTCTGATCGTTTTAAATAATTTTATATCATCGGCAAATAACAGGTATTCGGACTCAATTACTTCCCCTATATCATTTATAAAGATGTTAAACAGACAAGGCCCCAAGAGAGATCCCTGGGGAACCCCTGACAAAACTTTCATGGGTAGAGACTCAGCATTTGCAAATCTGACTATCGAGTGTCTATCCTCAGGTAATTGTCAATCCACAATAGAAGTTCCGTTTGCCAATAATACCATAGGCCTTCAGTTTAGCAATAAGATGATCGTGGCTCACTTTATCGAAAGCCTTACTAAAGTCGAGAAACAAGGCATCAACTTGGGCTCTATTATCAAAGTTTGATGAATATATGTACTGCTCAAAGGTGATTAGATTTGTTACTGTAGACCTTCCCATAAAAATTGTTAAAGATTCGCAAAATATCACAAATGATTCATGAAATTAAAAACATAAAAGTAACTGTAAACAATCCTATTTCGATAGTTCTCGTTGCATATCATAGTTTTACTTTCTCCCCCTCCACCATAGTAGTATATGGAGAAAGTAGGCCTATTGTTTTCATCAAAATTTTCGAGTTTGAGTTTTGAGTGGATAAGTTATATTCGTTTTGGGTCCCCCTGGACCAAAAAAAGTTGTTTTCGAAGTGATGTCTGTGTGTCTGGATGTGAATGGGGACTAACTTACACCCGTGGTCCGATTTCTATGAAATTTTATATGTAGGTTTTAATCCATGGTATCTCCAGGCATTTTTTCATTTTTTTGAAATTTTGATTTTTAATGGTGATTTTCCCATAAAAACTCATAAAATAACGGATAAATTGGATATCCTTGACCATTCCTAACACCAATGGTTCAATATTAGGGTAGGCCATCATCTTAATGTGGAAGACACAACTCAAGTCACCTAAAAATTAGTGAGCACAAAAAAATGAGTCAATCCATAGCCGTCTCTAGTATACTAGGGATGGCTATGGTCAATCGCTAGCCTAATTGAGACTTTAGTGTAGCATACCTAATAATGAATAAATATTGGAACAATTAGCCTACCTGTAAATGCATTGTACGTCTCACCAGGCCCATAATATTTGGCAGCTTTTGAAACGTCGAATACGTTGCCTAATATTGCGAGGTAAAGTCGTTTATCTTTACTGATTCCGTTAAACTGTTTAATTTCTTCTTCCGTAAACAAAGAGTTAGAGGCACTATCAGTTTCCTCTGATTTTATTACACCAATGGCTGTGAAGTATGTGAAGATACCAGATGCTAATAATTGGTTAAAGGATTCAGAATTAACTACTGATACGCTGTCCAGGATTACTTTAGGAATAAAATTGAAGGATTTTGCATCTTTTAATATAATAAAGAGTGGAACTACTGAAACTGTCAGTGTAAACAATGTATATTTCAAAATCATAACTAAGCTTATTAATTCCAAACAAATAAAATATGTGAATAAATAACTTGGGCGTACTCCAGAGTAGGTAGGCTATATTTTAATTAATTCTGAGTTAGGTAACTTAATATTGGTTACCGGTATAGCCTACATAAAATAAATGTTTTTTGTCAAGAAAAGCAACAACAATAGAAAGAAAGAAACAATAAACTGTTACAAACAAAATGCAATATCAAATCATTAAAATGTACAACTCTATTATGATTGAATTTAAATGAGATAGGCTATTAATTTTATAAACACAAAGAAAAGAGGTTATGTTATGTTGGTATGTTTATGTCTGTCTGTGTGTTGTGCTGTTGTGCACCGTGTAGCGGAGGCACAATTTGTATTTCAGGATTAATTTTGCCAACAGTGTCAGAGGCTTCTGATTGACTAAAAACGAAGGTTTAGTAATTGAAAAATTATTTTTGTTCATAGAATAAAATTATAAATGCCTCAAATTAAATTTTATATTTTAGCGAATTTCCCTATAGGGAAGTAGCTATTACCGTAGGTGGCACGGTAAGACCTTGACCCGGGACCGATTTACTTTTTCATTTTGATGTCCCCAGAGGCCAAAAAAACCATTCGTCCAAATTTTTATATATGTATATATATATATATATATATATATATATATATATAGATTTATATATATATATACGTCCGTGAACGCGATAACTTGAGTAATTTTGGTCCGATTTTGATGAAATTTGGTTTAAAGGTGTAAAGCGAGATAAACTTGAATGAGTTCGCGAACCAGCATGATCGGACCATGGGAACGGGGCTTTAGGGGGGGTTTTATGGGGTAAAAATTGGTTTTTCTCACTTTTGACCCTCAAAACACAAAAATTCCCAATTTCTCTTTAGACCTTTTTAAAGAGCTTAAAAAAACAAATAATTTAGTATATAAAAGTATTTTTGTTCGATTATTAGTAACGGAGAAAATAAAAAAAATTGTAAATTTAAAATTCCCATGTTATTCTTATGGAGAATATTGTCAAATGTTGTAATTTGCTTGTTTATGGATATATTTTGATCAAACTTGGCAAATTTATTTATTTTGTACTAAGCTATCAATATTCTACTCAAAAACACACTTTATTAGGTTCCTTGTAGCAGCAAACCTAGGTACTCGTTAAACCTAATGTTATTAAAATATATTTAACTGAAAATCAATTCAGACAAATGGAAATTCGCTTAGTCGGCAGGTTTGCTGCGGCGGGGGTATTTTTATTATAAAATTAAACTATCATAACCTAACCAAACTAACCAGACTTGCTAACAATGAAAAATCAAATGAAGGTTTAACCGAAAAAAATATTTCTGTTCATAAATGGGTCAAATTCAATTTCATAATGTTTTAATTATAAAATTAAACCGTCATAACCTAACTAAACCAACCAAACTTGTTGATAATGAAAAAAATCCAATACAAAAAAGATAGTGCTTCGGGTGGGATTCGAACCCGGGTTCTTCGGATCATCACATCAGCCCAGCACTCTATCCACTACACCACCGAGGCCGTTGGCATCTACCGTATCGTCGCGGTAATGATGTTCCCTCAGCCAATCAGAAGCCTCAAAATAATACTCAAGGCAACACTAATCCTGAAATAAAAATTCAGCGTAGCGGAGCGGTAGCACAATTTTTATTTCAGCTGCAGTTATTTTAATAAGAACAAAATGAGAGCATCCTATTGGCTGAGGGAACACCATTAGCGCAATGAAACGGGTAGAAGTCATCGGCCTCGGTGGTCTAGTGGATAGCGTGCCGGGCTACCAAACTTATGGTGCCGGGTTTCGAAACCCATCGGGTGCACCAACTTTTTGTCTAAGATTTTTGCATTATCAGCAAGTTTGGTTAGTTTTGTTAGGTTATAACAGTTAAATTTTATAATTAAAACCTTATAAAATTTAATTTGAGCTATTTATAGTTTTATTTTATGAACAGAACTATTTTTTCGATTAGTAAACCTTCATTCAATTTTTTCATTGTCAGCAAGTTTGGTTAGTTTGGTTAGGTTATGACAGTTTAATTTTAAAAAATTAAAAAATATAAAATTTAATTTGAGGCGTTTATAGTTTTATTTTATGAACAGAACTATTTTTTTCTATTATTAAACCATTATTCAATTTTTTCATTATCAGCAAGTTTGGTTAGTTAGGTTAGGTTATGACAGTTTAATTAAAAAATTAATTACATATTTTTTTTAGTTTTAGGCCTATAATAATTATTCTTTTTAAATTTCTAATTTTTAAACTCTTATTTTGTCCGTATTAAAAAACTGCAGCTGAAATAAAAATCGTGCGGAGCGGTAGTGGTACTATAGACACTCGACGTTCTGTACCCACGAGCATCTCAGCTTCCACATGCACAGAAGGCCTTGGACTTGGAACAGTTCCTGCGATAACAGCTATTTGTGTAATAGCTTCACTGTATATCTTTAATGGAGCTGTTTAGATGGGCCCGGCGCACACGGTGTGACTGTTTTACAACAACTGTTGCAAACCAGTTGCGTCTGGAACCAGTTTGCAACTGAAACAAAACTTCTGTCCGCACACGGTGTGACTGTTTTACAACTACAGTTGCGTCTATTGTGATTGTGCAATCAGAGGAGTGCAAATTTAGTGCAGTTACGTTGTTTTAGCGAATTTCCCTATAGGGAAGTAGCTATTACCGTAGGTGGCATGGTAAGACCTAGACCCGGGACCGATTTACTTTTTCATTTTGATGTACCCAGAGGCCAAAAACACCATTCGTTAAAATTTTTATATATGTATATATATATAGACTTATATATATATATATATATATATATATATATATATACGTCCGTGAACGCGATAACTTGAGTAATTTTTGCCCGATTTTGATGAAATTTGGTTTAAAGGTGTAAAGCGGGATAAACTTGAATGAGTTCGCAAACCAGCACGATCGGACCATGGGAACGGGGCTTTACGGGGGGTTTTATGGGGTAAAAATTGGTTTTTCTCACTTTTGACCCTCAAAACACAAAATTTCCCGATTTCTCTTTAGACCTTTTTAAAGAGCTTAAAAAAAAAATAATTTAGTATATAAAAGAATTTTTGTTCGATTATTAGTAACGGAGAAAATTAAAAAAATTGTAAATTTAAAATTCCCATGTTATTCTTATATGGAGAATACTGTATTGTCAAATGTTGTAGTTTGCTTGTTTATGGATATATTTTGACCAAACTTGGCAAATTTATTTATTTTGTACTAAGCTATCAATATTTTACTCAAAAACACACTTTATTAGTTTCCTTGTAGCAGCAAACCTAGGTACTCGTTAAACCTAAAGTTATTAAAATATATTTAACTGAAAATCAATTCAGACAAATGGAAATTCGCTAAGTCGGCAGGTTTGCTGCGGCGGGGGTATTAATGCTTAAGTGCGCTTACTACGTCGAACTCAGACGAAGAAGACGTTATTAGCTATTAACATATATAGATAATAAACGGTATTAGCATTCTAACACATACTTTCTCCCATAAGTTTGTCAACAACCTTTATCATGTGTAAGCAGTGAGAGTAAATCTATATATTAATTTGAAACTGTTTTTCTTTGTCATAGCTAAATTGAGAGAACGGCCTGGCATAGAAACTCGGTAGAGGTGTCTAAAGAAAGGTCTTGGTCTGTAGATGAGCCATCAAAAGAGAAACGTGGTAAATTCCCTTGGGGCTCTGCCCCAGTGGCCTTTGAATTCCCATCCCATGTTATTCTTATGGAGGAAAAACTGGGTTTTTGTCCCAGCTAATTTGAGAGAACGGCTGGGCCTAGAAACTTGGTAGGGGTCTCTAAAGAAAGGTCTTGAAATGAAATGAAATGCTTTATTTTCCATTAGGCATGAAATGCAATAGGCATCGTCAGAACAAATAACAATATACAATTTTCATAAAAATTAGAACTAAAATGCAAAAATCACACAGCAAACAAAACCAAAAACAAACCATGCACAAAACTACTGTCAAGACAAAACAAAACAATCTGTTACTTACGTACATAGGAAAAACTCTCTCACAGTCTCCTTGGGAATGTCGAAGAAATCACTGGTTTTATAGAGTGGGAAAGCCAATAAAAGTGCCCGGAAATTGTTTTTGAATTTTCTGTTGGTTTGGTTCCAAGCTGTACAAGAAATGTGATTAAGAAGCCTTATTACGACAATCCAGCTCAAGCTACAGCAAATTTACAGCTAAACTTGGATGAAATTTCTCATTGGTTTAAAACATGGAGGTTCAAAATTAATGAAAATAAATCAGCACACATTACTTTTACCTTAAATCAGGCTACATGTCCTCCAGTATCCATGAACAATATTCACCTCCCTCAAGTAACGGAAATAAAATACTTGGGCATGCACTTAGATGCAAAGCTTAATTGGAAGGCACATATCTGGACTAAAAGGCAACATCTAAATTTAAAAACAACTAAACTTAATTGGCTTCTTGGATCTAAATCAAAACTCAGTACACAAAATAAATTGTTACTGTACAAAACAGTTTTAAAACCAATTTGGACTTATGGTATTCAGCTTTGGGGATCAGCAAGTACCTCAAACATTGAAATTATTCAACGTTACCAATCAAAATTATTACGTAAAATTGTCAACGCTCCTTGGTTTGTTACCAACAGAACACTTCACAATGATCTTCAAATTCGAACAGTAAAAGAAGAAATTACAAAATATAGTGAAAAATACATTATGAAATTGGAAAATCATTCAAATCATCTTGCACTTAATTTATTGGACAATCACAACACCATTTACAGACTGAAGCGACATACGATATTGGACCTACCATTCAGATTCGGCTAAGTGTTATCAAAATTCTCTTTGTTTGCTAGTGTTGACGGTGGTCAATCACTAGCTCATGTTCTTCAAGTTATTTTTGTATTACTAGTTATATCATTTGCTTATTGTTCAACTTGAACAGATTGTAAATTAAATAAAGTTAAAAAAAAAGAAGCCTTATGCTTAACTGACTGGAATTTCTTTTTGTTTTGCTTAACCTAACATAAGGTACATCAATATTGTTCTTATTTCTGGTATTGTACATATGATAATCACCCCTACGACTAAGTGACTGGAGATCATTTTTTACATGCACAACTGAAACAAAAACATACACTACATACAGTCATGATTTCCTCATTTACAAAGAGAGGTCTGCAAGGGGCATCATACTCAGCGTTTGCTAGGATTCTTACAGCTCTTTTTTGTATTAGCAATACC